TTCTCCTTTATTCTTCTCCCTGGCACAACCTCCCCCATCCAACCTTCTTAAAAGAGCTTTATGTACTCACTTTCTCCAATTCCTTTCCTCCTATCTTCTCTTGAACCCACTTCAATCTGGCGTTTACCCCTACCACTCCACCACCTGGCTTCGAAGACACTGCTTTTCATCAGTTTTTCCTGCCTTACCGGATGCACTTCAACTTTCTTCACTGGTTTCTCCTTTCTCCACAATCTCTTAATGTTGGTGAGCCCACCGACTTAATGCTGGTGACCTGAAGCTTTTTCCTTTCTCTGTCCATACTCATTCCCTTGCTTATCTGCTTCATTCATATGACCTTAATTTGTTAAATACAGTTAATTAGCCATTCACAAAGACTTCCTCACATTTGTACATGGTAAGCCTTTAGACATTTAGATGATTTGATTAAATATCAAAGCATTAATAAATTTAAACTTATTTAAAGTTACAGCATCATGATTAAGGACACAGGCCCTGGAATCAGACTTACACCAAACCTTGTACCTGGCTTCATGCTTACTAGATTCACCACATTAAACCTCAATTTCTTCAACTGATAAAGTAGGTTTAATAACATTGCCAACTTTATAAGCTTTACCACGAGAGTAAAATGAGTTAATTCATATAAAGCACTAGTATTTGCTGGCACAAAGTATGCCCTCATTCAGTGTTAGCCATTATAAATGTTCCTATGTCTTGCTATGCTAAGAGAAATGGGAGCCACCAAAAACAACAACAACAACAACAACAACTAACTGTAAGACATGAATGCCACCATACAATAAATAATAGCCTTATGAAAGCAATACATTTGCACATTTCTGAAAAATACAAATGAAACATAAAAACAGCATAAAGTGCTACCTATTATTTGAAGTCTTCTGTCCACTTTATGCATGTACAAACTCTTCAAAGTCTGTTCCTATTGAGCTGAAAAAAGTACTAAACTAATAAAAGCAGATGTCAAAAAAATACAGTTACGAAACATTTTGATGCTTCTCTGTATTTCAGTTCTGACAATTTTGGTCACCAAATCACTAATTTTTGTACTGCTATTCAAGTTAATCCACACCACAATCCATGATAACTACTGTATGAAACCTTCATAAAAGATTTTTTAATATATTAATTCCAGAGAGGAGACACATTAATATATTTTTTGACTGCCAAATAAACAGAGAAGAGTTTAATTTTTTTCTTTAAAAACTAAGGAGATCATGAGGGAACATAAACCAGAAAGAAAAAATAAAAATACAAAATTATTATAACAATAAAAACTAAGGACAGGTCTGAGTATGGTGGTTCATGCCTATAACCCCAGCACTTTGGGAGGCCAAGGCAGGAGAGTGGTTTGAGCCCAAAAATTTGAGACAAGCCCAGGCAACATAACAAGACTGTCTCTACAGAATTTTTTATTATTATCTGGACATAGCAATGCATGCCTATGGTCCCAGCTACTCAAGAGGCTGAGGTGGTAGGATCACTTGAGCCCGAGAAGTTAAGGCTGTATGTGCCATGACTGTACCACTACGCTCCAGCCTGGGCAGCAGAGTGAGAAACCCTGTCAGAAGAAAACAACAACTAAGGAGAAATCAAAAAGAAAGAGAAGGTATGAAATATGTGCAGGACTTCAGCTCCGTAAGTAAAAATCAAAGTCAGTAAAATCTGCATAGAGTAATAAATGTTAGGAACAAGGCAGTTAAAGATTAAAAACGAGCAGTTTTACTGGGATTTTAGGAACTTGCAGGGGAGAATGTGAGTGTTCATTTATATATATATATATATATATATATATATATATATATATATATATACCTTTTTGTGTGTGTGAGACAGAGTCTCACCCTGTCACCCAGGCTGGAGTGCAATGGTATGATCTCAGCTCACTGCAACCTCTGCCTCCCAGGTTCAAGCGATACTCCTGCTTCAGTCTCCTGAGTAGCTGGGATTACAGGTGCGTGTCAACATGCCCGGCTATTTGTTCTTTAGTAGAGACGGGGTTTTCACCATGTTTGCCAGGCTGGTCTTGAACCCCTGACCTAACAATCCATCCGCCTCGGCCTCCCAAAGTACTAGGATTACAAGCGTGAGCCACCACACCCTGCCTCATTATATTTTAAATACATCATAAAGCTAAAATTAACAAAAGTAGAAATAACATGCATTCACATTTTGAAAAACCATGAAAGTAATGCAGCTACAAATATTCACTATTATTTGAGAGCAAGATTTTTAAGAAGTTAAAATGATTTCAATTATGCGATAACCATTCTAATATCTTAAATTCAACAAGGAATTTTGACTACTTGGGTCCCCTTTCATAGGTTCTTCTCAGTTTATCAGCTAGATGATGTGTTCCTACACAACTTTGCTGATATAATTAAACCATGGATTATCTCTGAATAAGGCTGGGTACTACTGTGATATAATAAAAGGGAGAAATAGCAGAATATAGTCTGGTTGTTAACAGCATGGACTTTGGAGCCAGGCTTCCTAGGTTCAAACTCCAATTCACACCACTTAGTACTCTTTGAAATACACACTTTTTTGTTCAAAAAGGAATATGTGCACTCTTCCTGGCAACAGTTGTAGTTTCCACAATATTTTAAAAGAGCTGTTGATTCCAACAGGAATTCAGTTCCCTAAAATCAGGGGCAGTAGTACATTTTGATAAACAAAAGTTACTCATGCTAGGACTCTGGTGGTATTTTTCCTCATCGCCCCTAAATTCAGCCATTTCTATTATTGAAGCCTTTAATAATAAAGACCTGATTTAAAGTCTGACTCACTTTTAAAGGGGGAACGGGCAAGACACATCTCAAAAAGTCAGAACCTCCAAGCCTTTGGTCAGGGCCAGCTATACAATCTGTGTAGGCCAATGTGAAATGAAAATATGACGCTCCTTGTCCAAAATGCAAGAAAAATACCTTCAGCTTACCGGTAAGTAGAGAAGGACTGAAAATAAAGGAAATTGTGGAATGTCTTATCTTTCCTTTTCCTCTCATGCCATCACTTTTAGTGTAAGTGGTTAGAAAATATAATAAGGTGGTTGGGCATGGAGGCTCAGCCTGTAATCCCAGTTTGGGAGGCTAAGGTGGGAGGATCACTCGAGTTCAGGAGTTTGAGAGCAGCCTGGGCAACATAGGGAAACCCTGTCTCTACAAAAAATACAAAAATTAGCAGGGCGTGGTGGCGGATGCCTGTAATCCCAGCTACCTGGGAGGCTGAGGCAGGAGAACTGCTTGAACCTGGGAAGTGGAGGTTGCAGTGAGCTGAGATCGCGCCACTGCACTCCAGCCTGGGAGAAAGAGCAAGACTCCGTCTCCAAGAACATAATAATAATAATTTCAAGATGGCAAGTATGAGCCTTTCTGAGCACTTTGCACTTAGGTCCCTAAGTACAAAATAAGTGTTTCATGGAAGCCATTTAGTGAGCATCCTGAAGACGGTATGACATGGGGCAGCAGGAAACGGTGACAGACACAAACATTGCATGAATTACATTTGCTCACAAGATTGCTCCATTGTCTCATCAGACATCACTTACAAAACCTAAGTTCAAATATCAAGCACTAAGCATTTCAAGACGGCAACAGCAGAGCATTAAACCAAATCCACAACCCTTCTAAGCACTGGTTGCCTGCTCATGAAGCTGGCTCTACTCTCTGCTCTCAGCTTTTCACTTCATACTCTCTGACCTCAAACAACAAAAAAAAACCCTCTGCCCATTCTCACTAGAGTGAGCATGTGTTAGTTACCTTTAAAAAACAACAACAGGCTGGGCTCGCACCTGTAATCCCAGCACTCTGGGAGGCCGAGGCGGGTGGATCACGAGGTCAGGAGTTCAAGACCAGCCTGGCCAAGATGGTGAAACCCCGTCTCTACTAAAAATACAAAAATTAGCCCAGCACGGTGGCAGACGCCAATAATCCCAGCTACTGGAGAGGCTGAGGTAAGAAAGCGTAAAGCAGGTACTAAGGGGCTTTAGGGGAAAATAAGTCTTCCTCTACAGTGAGAACTTCAGTATACACAGGAGTAAGTCAGGCCAAGGGAAAGAAGGTTCTTAACCGAACAGCATTAGCAAAAGTGGTAGGAATTTTAAGGAAATTAAAGAAAATGTACAAGGGGTACAACCAGAAATCATGGGGCTCTATGAGGATAAAATATCTTAAAGGAGTTTGGACTGCACCTTAGAGGCAATAAGGAGCCACTGGAAAGTTTCCTATTTGACACTTGCTTTGTAAAAATATTACTCTATGAAGAATATAGGGAGTGGAGTCTGCAGTCCGAGTGGGTACTAGTGGAATTTAGGGAATGAAATTAGGTTGGACACTGGATTCGTGGGGAAAAGTGGGCGTGAGAAAAACTTAAGTTGAGAGGACCGTGTGACTGGACGGGCGGGGAAAGGTGAAGAGAGGATCAAGATCATTAAGGATGATTTCTCAGGCTTCTGGTCGGTGACTTGCATGGACGTTGGTGCCATTTCCCGAGAAGAGTTAAAGAGCCAGAGGTAGCCGGCAAAGAGAAAGAACATGAAGGTGAAATTTCACATATCTGCAGTTTCCCTGACAATACCTCTTTAATCCAGAATTTGCTCCTTGTTTTGGTTTTAACTTCCCTAGAAGCTGCCTCCGTGTTGCAAAGCTGGCTGACTGCTTCAACAGGCAACCAAAGAGATTCTTCTCACCAGAGGGAGCCTTTGAGCACAAGCCGGGACACTGGAGGCTGTCAGGCTGAAGAAAACAGGAAGCTTTGGACTACCTCACACACCCCGCCTTCAAGGTCTCGGAGCGACTCCACCCGTAAATGCCCCGCGACTCCGAGTAAAAAGTCCCGGCAGGTTGCGGGCTCCGCCCCTGGGAGGAGCTGTGGCCCGGTGGATGCCCGGATGTGGACGCGAGCGAGTGTGCGTCACGTGACGGCGCCTCACGGCGCGGGGCTCCGCCTGCGCAGGTGGTGTTGGGTGCGACAACCAACCAATGGATGAGCGAGGCGGAGAAATTCGAATGTGGCGGCGGAAGTTGCCGGCGACGGGAGACGGTGCTACGGCCCTGTAGGGCCAGGCGCGCGGGGCTGGTGCGTGGCGGCAGATCCTGGAAGAGCCTTGGAATGTGAGGAGGAGTAAGATAGCTGTTGCAGAAGTAGTGAGCAAGGTATCGTTCTGGACACGCCTGCGCAGGAGGCCCGCCGGGCCCATATCCGCCAGCCCCACTTCCCCTCGGCTTTTCTGGAGTCCCTGGAAGAGGAGGACGTAGTTTTTAAGGTGTGAAGCAAGGCCGTAGTGATGATCCCTGTTTGACTTCCCTTCGGTTCTCAGTATCGTTCTAAATTCGGGGGCTGAAAGCGTGGGCTGTGGAGTCCCACTGGTCGCGCGCTTTTTGCCGTTCAGCCGCTCGATCTGCGCTTTCAGATGTTCCGGCTTCTTATGTTAAATAAATGGAGACTCTAACTTCCTGCTTTACAGAATTGTGTAGATTAAGTGATGTGCAAAGCCTTTTACAGTAGTTAAAAGCCTGGCTCAACATAAGGAAGCAAGAAAATTAACAGCAGTTCTTTGTGCAGCGTGAGAAGGTTGACGTCCTTCCTAGTCCAGGCCATTGTCTTCCTCAGTTGCCCTGGAGAGGCCGGCACTGACTAGTGTCCTACCTGGCTGTCTTCGCAGCAGGACTAATTTGGCTGAGATCAAATATGCTGGGTTTTTTTGAATCCAGAACGCTTACAGGAGTACTGTGCAGATTGAGACCGTCATCTCGCACTGTAGCCTGTCTTTGTCTGCCCCACCCCCTGCTATCACCTTCGCCTTAGACAGGATATAAAACTTTTAATATGGCAAGTTTCTTTTGTGATTTTTACTTGATTAAAAGTAATAACTAAAACTTTTTAGGTAAGGCTTTGCCTTTAAAATAAACTAAATCAGTGACTTAATCCTTATGACTCTCAAACATCTCCAATTCTAACTTAATTGTGTGAAATAACCTTCTTACCATTAGTGCTTTTAAAAATAGATACCCTAGCTCTGCTAAGAACCTCCCAGTATAGATTGTATATACCTTGGTAGAAAGAAAGTTCTTAAGTGGTATCTACAGTATCTATATTTAAGATTCCAGACACTGCATAAAGGAAAATAAGGCCTGGAGAAAATAAGAGAGTGTAACGTTTAGGAAGATATCCTTTATGGTGAAATTGTATGCATAGATTATTATTGGAAACGAGTCTTTTTTTTTTTTTTTTTTTTTTTTTTTGCAATTCTAAGATCTGTAAAGTGCAATCTATAGTAAAAAATGTTTGCGATAAGTAGTCTGACATGTTTAGTAGCATGCTAAAGCCTACCTGATGTGCAACATTGAAAGATTAAGTATACACGTATGTATTTACTCAATAGTATATTCCCCTGTCAGTTTTGCTACGTTTGACTGTATGTAGAACAATATTTAATATCGTCTTTGCTATGTTCATAATTTATTGGGAGTAAAGAGCCCTAACCTTTAGCCATACTTTGAGAATGCTAGATTGTTCCTCTGCCCAAGTTCCTGCTCTTTCCAGCTCTGTAATTGTTACAATAGCCTATTAAAATTGTATGCAGTGCTACATAGTTTAAACCTTCGAGGATCACCTTGACTTTCTTGGGAGTGTGTGAATATCATAAGTGATAATTGGGTTAAGAGTATGGGAGAATAATTGAATGGCCTAATCTGATGACTTAATCATTAGAGACGAACTGGAAAACAAAACCCAAATACATGATTGCCTCTGAACTAATGCTGTAAGCCTAAGCACTAAAAGTTGGTCCTAAACATTTTCTATAAAAAGCATAAATAATAATGGCATAAATAGAATAATAAGCATTTTCAGTAGTGTCTTGCATATACCCCACAGTGAGTATTTGTTAAAAGAATGAATAAGTGACATATTGTGGAATCTTTGGGTTGGAAATCTATATTCAGTAAAGCTTTACTATAAAGTGCCTGAGATGACATCAAAAATATTAATGAGATTTTAAAGGTACAAAATGTATTATCAAGTTAGCTAACTACTTTGAGCTAATTCTACAGTTTATTTAATGTATTCTTTATGAACAGTCTGTGTTTTTTAAGTTTTATATTTGATAATATTCTCTGTGATAAAAATTATTTTTTATTGTCTAGGCAGAAGATGGCCAAGGAAAGGTGCCTCAAAAAGTCCTTTCAAGATAGTCTTGAAGACATAAAGAAGAGAATGAAAGAGAAAAGGAATAAAAACTTGGCAGAGATTGGCAAGCGCAGGTCTTTTATAGTTGCACCATGCCAAGCAATCAGTAAGAGATTTTCATGTTGTTCCTTTATATCACTTTTAAAATTTAGATTTAATAACTGATAAATTTTTTACCCACTTTTAGCCAACACTTCTACACTGCTGAAGAATTACCAAGACAACAACAAAATGTTAGTTTTAGCTTTGGAAAATGAAAAAGCCAAAGTGAGAGAAGCCCAAGATACCATCCTACAGCTGAGAAAAGAATGTTACTATCTCACATGTCAGCTACATGCATTGAAAGGAAAACTTACATCACAACAAACAAAAGAAACTGCTCAGGTATTTTCTTTACTAAGGCCAAATGTCTTAGTTTGGTTAAGCCATGAATTAATAGTTTAGATCAATTATGTTATTTAAATGAATTACTAATAGCTCAATTATGCATGAATTGTTTAAAACGTCCTTCTTAAGTGCTCCAGCACTGCTATTGCATTTGCCCAGTTAAGAAAGCCTCGGGCATATAGGTGTTTGAGGCCTGTTCTTGCCTAATAGGGTTCTTAAAGCAGGTAGCAAGACATGGTACAGAAGTAGTTTAGCCTTTTGCATTGCTGGTCCATTTGAATGTTGCAACTAAGTGAATCAAAGTTTCTTAGTTTTTTTTGCTATATCCAGTGGGGTTTTATAAGAACTACCTTTGTTTGGGTCATGGGGAGTATTTTTAAGTGCTTTTTGGAGAATCTTTTTTACCTACTTTTTGGCTACATAGAGAAGACTATAATTCCCAGACAAGTAATGTCATAAACATTTTGCAGATCAGATTTTTAATCTGATTCTCTTTGTGTCTAAGATTGTAAAGAAGGTGTTCAATTATGGTCCTGCTAGCCAAAATATAGCAGATACGGAGAAACTTTGCTTTAGGAGATTCTTTGTGTCTCACTGTACCATTGTGTATCATTACTTATGAAAAAAGTAATGATGAGAGCTAATTTATTTTTCCCTTTTCCCAGAAGCCACTGCCAGGGAAATGGGGCTGAGAAAGAAAAAAAGCAGTGGCAAGTGTCAGATGTTAACAGAACATTTAATTTCTTCCCAGTGGCCATTGGTTCGCTGTGCCAGTGAAAACAGTTGAGTTGGCATTTAGGCTAGGTGGTCAGATAAGAAAGCAAGAATATAATGATTAGGGTAGGGTTATGGGGGCATGGTGAGAGGAGGTGAGGGGATGGGAGGAGGTGAGGGGATGGGAGGAGGTGGGGGGTGGGAGGAGGTGGGGGGTGGGAGGAGGTGGGGGGGTGGGAGGAGGTGGGAGGTGGGGGGGTGGGAGGAGGTGGGGGGTGGGAGGAGGAGGGGCCGTGGGAGGAGGTGGGCAGGTACTTGAGAATGGAATTAAAGTCACTTCTCCACTGACAGGAGAAGTCACTGAAAGAGTTCTTGCTTCCCTATTGATTCCCTTTTTTTCTCTGTGTGATTTAGACACATGTAATATATACATACACAGATAGGCAATAACTACATATGTGATATATTTGAAAACTGCCTCTATAAAAATTAGGTATGTTTTCTTTACCTTCGTGGGAGGGTTAGATTTTATTTTATTTTTTTCTTTTTGAAACAGAGTCTTGCTCTGTCATCCAAGCTGGAGTGCAGTGGCGCAATCTCAGTTCACTGCAGCCTCCACTGCCTGGGTTCAAGCGATTCTCTGCCTCAGCCTCCCAAGTAGCTGGGATTACAGGTGTGTGCCACCACCCCTGGCTACTTTTTATTTTTTTAGTAGAGACGGGGTTTTGCCATGTTGGTCAGGTGTCTCAAACTCCTGGCCTCAATTGATCTACCCAACTCAGCCTCCCAAAGTGCTGGGATTACAGGCATGAGCCACCATTCCTGGCTTATAGTTCCTTTTTTTCTTTCCAGAATATCGTGTTTTCTAATTTTTTCTTTTCCTTGTTCAGTCAACTAGTAGGGGGAAACAATTCCTCCAAAGGCATTTGGTTACTTAACCTCCAAATTCAGTGGTTACTTCTCTTTCTTCTTTTTTTTTTTTTTTTTTTTTTTTTGAGACAGAGTTTCGCTCTTGTTACCCAGGCTGGAGTGCAATGGCACGATCTCGGCTCACCACAACCTCTGCCTCCTGGGTTCAGGCAATTCTCCTGCCTCAGCCTCCTGAGTAGCTGGGATTACAGGCATGAGCCACCATGCCCAGCTAATTTTTTTTGTATTTTTAGTAGAGACGGGGTTTCACCATGTTGACCAGGATGGTCTCGATCTCTCGACCTCGTGATCCACCCGCCTCGGCCTCCCAAAGTGCTGGGATTACAGGCTTGAGCCACCGCGCCCGGCACTTCTCTTTCTTCTTGATCTTCCAGTAATAATATACAAAACAGGGGCCATTACTTGAAATACTTTCATCTATTAGCTTTCATGCTATTATGCTCCGCTGGTTTTCATTCTACTTTTCCGACTGTTCCATGTCAGTCTTTGCTGACTTCTTCCTCAGTCTACCTTTACATGTCAGTTGTTGGCCAGGCACATTGGCTCATGCCTATAATCTGAGCACTTTAAGAGGCTGAGGTGGGAGGATCGCTTAAGCCCAGGAGTTCAAGACCAGCCTGGGCAACACAGCAAGACCCCCATCATTACAAAATAAAAAATAAAAATTAGCCAGTGGTTGTAGCATGCACTTGTAGTCCTAGCTACTTGGGAGGCTGAGGCAGGAGGATTGCTGGGGCCCAGGAGTTCAAGGCCTCAGTGAGCTATGATAGCACCACTGCACTTCAGCTTGGGGTAACAAAGCAAGACTGTATTTCAAAAAATGAATGAATGCCAGTTGTTGCAGACTCATCTTATCCCCTCTCATAGCTTAATATACTGTCTGCTAATGCCGTTCCAGTTTATAGTTCAAAATCTAAAAACAAACACGTATACACACACAGCCAGTATTTGATACCTCCACTTAAACATTTACGAGGGTCAAACATACCTTATATAAAGTGCCTCCCCAAAGATACTGTATACTTCCTACCTTCCTTTATAAGTCTTACTCATCTCAGTGAAGTAGTCTACCCATTTGTTTAGGCCAAAACCCTAAGAGGCTTCCCTCTCCCTCATTGTTCCCACCTCCATCCCTTTTCAGTCCTTGAGCTTGACCTGTCATCTCAAGGCCTTCCACTGGGCTTCACCTCCATCATCATGACTTTAATCTTAGCTGATATCATGTCTTGCCAGATTTGCTATGATGACCTCTCAACCCTTTCTACCCCCGACCTCTTTCAATCCATGCTTCAAAGTGTACAGGCTGATCTTTTAAAATCTTAAATCATTTTACTTCCTTTCTTAATATTAAGTACCTTCGCATCATACTTAGACTAAAATCTAAACTCATGGCTCTCAAGGCCCTACATGTACCTGTCCTACTGTTCTCAGTGACTGTGTTCCAACCACAACAGCCTTTCTTTCCTAAATACAGCAAGATTTTTTTTTATGTGTATTTGCTGTTTCCACTGCCTTCTTTTCCTCCTGCTCTTTCAGTGGCTGGCTCCTTTGCAGTCTTCTGATTTATTTCAGATTCATTCTATTTAAAAGAGCAATCCAACCTGAGTTCTTCTCTGTCACCTCACCCTGAGTATTTCCTTCATGGCACTTTATTTCCTTGCACTAGATTGTAAGCTTTAAGAGGATAAGACTTATTTTGCTTTTGAGCTATTATAGTCTCAGTTCCTAGCACCATGCCTGGCACCATGATAGACTGTTAGTAAGTGCATATTGTTGAATAAATTAATGCTTTCTTATGCATACTTCAGTTATAACAGTGTTTTGTTTTAATACATTAACAGAACCAGGAAATACACTCTTCTGGAATGGACCCCAAAAGTGATGACAGCTCCAGAAATTTATTTGTGAAAGCTTTACCGTTAGTATCAAATTCTTTATATTGATTACAAATACTAAGAAAGATTTAATTCTACGATTCATTTATAAAAGGAAATGTCCAACATGTTAACTCGTATATTTGTAGTCTGATGCTTTCTCTGTTAAGAATATATTTAAGAGAATTTGATGTATTGAAATTCTGTCACATAT